CGCTAACTCCCGATCTTAATCAATGAAATATTTGCATTGAGTACTTTGTTCTGTACAGAGTTGAATGGACTTAGCGTGCGTTGTTTAAGTGTTCCCTTTATTTTTTTGAGCAGTATATATAATAAACACGTGTTCAGTATCGATATAAAACACGTCTGATATAATAATCATTTTTACTGTCTACACCTGGACAAAATTAATCAAAGATGCGGTGAGAAAATTAGTTTTCTTTAATTGAAACAGTGCAAACTGTAGCTTACAAGCCTAAATAATATTTGGTTCCATCCAGGTAACTTTGGCAAATAGAGAGCAAATTTTCTCAAATCTTCAGGATTTGTTGTTCATAATGAGAGTAATTAACACAGTTAAAAACTTGGAGGTAAATTATTTTGTTCCCATGTTACAGAGGGAGAACAAATTATTTTAAACAACTGAAATATTTGGTTCTTGTATCAGCAATAAATATAAATTGTAAATACACACAATGTGTTAGAAGACAGTGTTTGGTGGCTGACTGATAAATAGTGAGGCTAAAGAGAACATGTGAAAAGTTGGAAAAGGACTGATGAGGACTCATTCTGTGATTTTTAAAAAAGGCCAGGTTTTATTTATTTATTCATTTTAGAGTTTATTTTTTACAGCAGCAGATGATTAAACTGAAGGTTACCTTGACATGGTTATGTGAGTCCTTTTACTGAGAAATTCATCAGAAGTGCTGTGAAAATGGTCGGATCTGCCTCTCTGGCTGCAGTGTGCCCTCCAGACACAGAGGGATCAGATTTTCACTGGGGAACTGAATTTCGCACAACACCCCCTTAGCTCGAGGCGCTAAGACACATGACTACCTGCCTGCCTTCCATAACATGACAGCTGACTACATTCTGAAAAAGAGCGCCCCGGACGAGACACTTCAATTTGGCTTAAAATACAGACATTCTGACTAATAAGGGACTGTCTAACCTTAACTCAGCTTAAAAGACAGAGGGTGTCGATCGTTTCTGTTCAGATTAGCCATCATTGCATGACGCTAATGTTTACTCACTATGCTAATGCTACCGTTACTCTCTGGCTCCTCAGGAGTGGAGGAGCCAAATGGCTGGCTCACTGCTGCCCTTTAGCGGTCAGAGACTGAACTACAACATAAAAATGAACCGTTGGCAGGAAGGTTGACATTTAAAACCTTAATTAAAAATCGATACAGGGCTTTAGAATATCAATACGGTATCGGGAAATGAAATATCAATATATATCAGTGTGTCGATATTTTCCTACACTCCTAATTACTGATTTAAGCAGGCAGTATACTGCATCCAAACTGCCGAAATCGTGCCAAACTGTTGCAGTTTCATGATGAAAATTGCATCATTCTGTTTGCATTGTCGACATTTTTGGCACTTCTTGTCGCGACCCACGGGTCGAACTTTTTACCCCCCTCCACATAACAACACAAGAACTTTATTGTGTGATTGGTCAGAAGTTCGTGGGAGTGTTTGTTTGTGCTGAAAGCGCTCAGATGCTGAATTTTGCTTCAACCACTCGCTTCAAAAAAAAAAAGTGACTCGCTTCTAGAGCCGACTGTTACCAGGAAGCAGCGGTTTATAAAGATAGTCAAATGGCCAAAAACTCATAAATATTGAGTGACGAGTCTCTGACTTTTTTTCCCGCATTGTGGACTTCAGTGGGACAAAACCCCATGCAGTGACATCTGCTGCAGAGGGAGGGGTTTCCCAGGAGCTTGGCGCGGGGCGTCAGGAGCTATGCATAGGTGTGTGCGAACACGAAGAACAACCACGTGACCGCGCATCGCAGATTCGGATTCTCATGCAGTATACTGCCTGCTTGAGGATGCTGTTAGCCTGAAATGAGGCATGTAAAATCTGAAGAGGGGGTCAATACGACACCCCAACAGCTAAAAGCCTGCAGCTAAACAAGGTAAGCTAGCAAACCTGTGGCGTAACGTGTGCAGCAGCAGTTTTGTTTTTCCACCGTGCCTCAGAACTGCTTAAAAATAAAGAACAGTGTGAAGTGAAAGGAGAAAATGATCAAACAACTCGAGAGCAAATTGTGGATGAAAAAGGAAAGGTCACCAGTTTTTCACATATTTTAAGTTGGACAGGAGTAACTAATCTACAGTATAATTAAATATCAACCGATATGAAACGTTTGTATCATAAGTATTTCAGGCCTAACACTCAGCATCGTTTTCAGCTGTTTGTGATTTGTTCATCTTCGGCCTCTCAACAGGCGTCCAAAACAAAACCTGCAAAAGACTACGACGACCTGTTTGATGAGGATGACGGTGGACATATGGATGAAGGGCTGAGCGACACCATCTCGCCACTTAAGAAGCCTGTCGCTGCCGAGGACGACGACGATGACGACGACTTCCTGATCCCATCCACCGGGCGGGTTAGGAACAGGGGGGCCATCCTGGCTGACGAGAACTCAATGGGTGAGAAAAAAACCTGSATTTAAACTGATTTTTGACTCTGATGTGTGAAAAACATAGGYTGTTATTAAGGGTGTAAGAAAATATCGATACACTGAAACATCGCGATATTTCATTTCCCGATACTGTATCGATATTCTAAAGCCCTGTATCGATTTTTTTTTATTAAGGTTTAAAACGTCAACTTTTCTGCCAGCCGTTCCTTTTTATGTTATAGTTCAGCCTCTGACCTCTAGTTGGCAGCAGTGAGCCAGCCATTTGGCTACTCTACTGTTGAGGTAGAGGCTATTGTTAAGTGTTGGGTGACCATACTGTAAATTAATATTAAAAACTAAAAGCTGCAAAAAATATATTTTCAAAGTATTTATTATCAAATTTAGTCTAATAATTGAAAACATGGATGAAATAAGAAATATGAAACAAATAAAATAAAATACATACGAAGAAGAACACAACTAAATGTATCAAAAGTATGTCTGTGTAATATTAGAATTTTCTTAAGAGTTTAAAGTCACATGATCATGGAATAAAATGAAAACATCCCACCTGTTTCTATCATGCAATGAGGGAAGATGTTGTCAAGTAGAAAAGTGTTTAAAATGTATGTTTATCCTGAACTGAACCCCCAAGTTTGCATCTAGACATTGTCAGGTTTATGTAAGGATTTAAATAGTTGAACGTGGATGCTGCTGTTTGCTCTGATTCCAGATTAAACAGATTTTGAGTCCATCCTGTATGTTTTTATCAGCTTTATTCTCTGTGGTTTTATGAATTCTTCTCTCTCCGTCTGGCTGCATGTTTCAGGTTAAAAAACAAAGGTAGTTTGTTTCTGTCAGACACAGGATCTCTGAAGCTCGGTCAGGACAGATTCAGGGATGATGATGATGATGATGATGATGCCGGCAGCACCGTGGCCCCCGACGCCGCTCCTCTGGCCCCGCTGCGCCCCGTGTATGAGGGGCCGCTGCCCACTCCTCCGCAGAAGGCCTTCCAGCCGGGCTCCACCCCGGCACACCTCACACACCGYTTCATGGTAGGAGCGTCTGCAGGCTGTAAGTGTGAGCTGTGGGGTTGAACATGTAACAATCAAGCTGTGTCTCAGACTTGGAACTCTGTGGGAATCGTGCGAGGCTACAACGACGAGCAGGACAACGCCATCGACGTGGAGTTTCACGACACGGCCGTCCACCACGCCATGCACCTCACCAACTCTCTGGGTCACACTGTGGCTGACCTGTCCCAGGAGGCCGTGCTGCTGGCCTGCCCCAGCACACAGGAGCTGGCCAGGTGAGCCTCCCGGGCCTCGGTGTTTAGAGTTCAGTGTTCCGGTGAAGACTTCTCAAACAGCTGCTGTCTTCCCAGTAAGCTGCAGTGCCTCCACTTCTCATCATGGGACACCAACAAGGAGTGGATGGTGGACCTGCCGAAGGGCGAGGACGTGAAGGCGCTGTGTCTGGGRCAAGGCTGGGCCGCGGTCGCCACCAGCACCATGGTGCTCCGGCTCTTCTCCATCGGAGGAGTCCAGAGAGAGCTCTTCAGCCTGCCGGGACCCGTGGTGTGTGTGGCCGGACACGGAGAGCAGCTGCTGATCGTCTACCACCGAGGTCAGACACAAACACACTCACACAAATACACACTAGCATCTTTCACAGGACAGTTCTGTGAGATCACCACGCAGACCGGTCCGGCTTTTAAGCTCCGTAGGTTCATTCATAAATCACAGGTGAAGCCTGCCAGGTCCTGCTCACATGTACGCCTTCAGAAATGAACCCAGCAGAGCAGAACCARAAGAGGCGTGGAGCAGAACTCAGGTCTGCTGAAGTGGAGCACAATGTATGTGAGGACATCTGTCTCACATCAAACAAACCAAACTGGATTAACTCACTATAGCCATCCTGTGGTTCAGTATGTTTTAGACTAACTACAAAGTTGTTTCGTGTCGTCTTTAATATTCCCTCTGTAATAAATCTGTTGATTAATCCAGCAATGACCAGGGRTGTCATCATCTCATTATCATTTTCTAAGCCGTTGCTTTTTCACAAGTGGGTCAGCCCACCTTGGGCCAGGCTCTGATATTACCTCACTTGGGGGCTCAGAGGGGCATCAAAAGTGGGCTCACTTTACCCACCTTTCTGCTTTCATATTTTTTCTAAATRATCTGAGGACAGAACATGTGYCAGTCCTGGATTGAGCTGTCTTATGAGTGAGGCTGATCTTTCTCCTGCTGGGTAGTTTCAGGATATCAAGCTTTTCACATGATAACTACTTTTGAACTTTTGAACAGTTGTGTCAGGACCAGTAGTCCTTTTGGGGACAAAAGCCCAGTCCTTAAGGCTCTACGTGAGGGGCGCCAAGCTCATTTTCACCAAGGGCCACATGAGCGTTATGGTGGCCCTCAAAGGGCCAGTTTTAATGAACTTTAACATTTCATGTTTAACTTTGACTAAACAGTGTTTTTACATGTCCTCTTTTAAACACTAAACTAAGTGTACGACTGACTAAATCTGAAATAAATACAGAAATATTATTAAAAGTAAAGGCAGATTTAGTTTATGGTTGATGGTGACTTTAAAGCAGCTTATTTTCAGACATTAATACTGTGCTATCCAACAGCTCAGGGACAGGAATTTATGAAATTTATTTTTATTTCATTTATTTTTATTAAATTTATTTTGTTGCGTTTAATCATAAATTTAAAGTTTACCATTGATATAAGAAACAATTTTCACGTTAAGTAAAAAATATATCTATATATTTTTGGGTGGGTGGTGGGTACCCTCCCTGGCGGGCCTCMCAGGCCTTGTGTTTGACACATGTGCCCTACATGTTCCAKCTGAAGCTGTGAAATCTGGAATTGTCKTAGATACGTGACAAAAAGTTTGTAATTTTGTCAGATTAGCAGCCTCTGCCACCCCTTCTCCACACAAGGCTTGGGACAAACTTTTCCTCACAGGTTGATACGAGGAAGTTGTGGACAAAGGACAAAAAGTCATGTCATCAGTCTTTTTTCTCCTGGTCTTTATTTCAAGTAGGTAAAACAAAAAAAACTGATCAATAATTATCTATATCGGCCGATATGAAACACTTGTATGGTGATACATTTTTCAGCTGATTGCCCAGACRTAGTGCAGTGTGATTGGTCAGAAGTTAACGGGCGTGTTTGTTTACACAGAAAAGTGCTCAGACAACAATGGTGCCATTTTGCTTCAACTATTTTTGCCTCCAGAAGCCGGTTGTTGTGTGTCTGAACATGGATATTTTAGTGTGTACATCTGTACGTCACTTCCAGACCAACATATACCGGTAGACAAAAATAAAAACACAATAAAGACGTGTAGATATGCTGGTTACATCACTGCACCGCGCCGTAGGCTGTCCCAATTCTTTAGCTCCTACTCATAGACAAAACCCCACGAATCATTGCTCCATCAGCAAACTAAAYAGAAGACAAGGAGTTTATTTATTTTATACGTCAGAGTTTAGAGACAGACTGAACAATTTGTTTTCACACTTTATTTTTCTGAAAACCCGGTCAAAATGTTTGATCCATAATGAATCAAGTGCAGCTTGAGGGAGCAAACTTTCTTCATCCTGCCAAACAAAAAACTTGATTTTCTCCCTCTTTACTTTGCTCATAAATATTTATTCCCTTCTGTTGCTTTATTCGGATGCTTCATTCCCACTGAGACAAGGTGGTAACTTAATGCTAAAGGAGGCTTTCTAAACTTTAATCCAAGCATGAAAGATTAAATTAAGTGTTCACTGAAGGCTCTGTCACACCCAGCAGTTCAGCCTGGCTCAGGCCTCACATCAGTCTGTCTGGTCTCACAGCGACAGGTTTCGATGGGGAGCAGGCTCTTGGAGTTCAGCTGCTGCAGTTCGGTCGCAGGAAGAGGCAGCTCATCAGCGGAGAGCCCCTCCCCCTCTCCCACAGATCCTACCTCTCCTGGCTCGGGTTCACTGCCGAAGGTCAGAAACACCTCTGCTTAGTTTCTTAGAATTGTAATCCCTTTAAATTTGTGCCTTCCTAAAGTGGWTGTTGTTCCCCAGGGACCCCCTGCTATGTAGATTCAGATGGGGTGGTCCGGATGCTGAACCGCTCCCTGGGAAACACCTGGACACCAGTTTGTAACACCAGGGAAACCTGTAAAAGCAAATCGGATCATTACTGGGTGGTGGGAGTGCACGAGAACCCCCAGCAGCTCAGGTGAGCTCAGTGAATCTGTGTGAGTCCGGTGATGAAGAAGAATGAGCCAGGCRTGAAGATCCACCTGTGTGAACGGGCGTTTTAGATCAGATTGAGGTGTTAATATTGTGTGAATTTAAAAACAAAGAAGCTCACAAATATTAAACACGTAAAATATTAAATTTAGCTTCATTTTAGCAGCTAATTCTGAGATTGTGGAGTTTTAGTTAATGTGTTTAATAAACAAAATGTTCAAAAGAGTTTTCATTTTTGATAAATAAATGTAACATCTTTTAGACCAGCTGGATCCTCATTTTAAAGGACTTTAAATAATTTATACATCTGTCTTTGTGCTGCCAGGTGTATTCCCTGTAAAGGCTCCAGGTATCCCCCCACCCTGCCTCGGCCCGCAGTCGCTATTCTTCCCTTTAAACTTCCTCTGTGTCAGACCAGCACAGAGAAAGGCCAAATGGAGGTAAACAGAACCAGCAGATACAGTCAAAGGAGAAATATGGAAATCATTCACTGCCTGTCTGGAAGTAAAAAAAATGGAATAGTTGCAGTCATACAAAAACTCTCTGTCCAAGCAAGTCCTTTGCAGTAACTTTACTGCAGTAATAAGATTTCCTTCAACAGATTTAAAGTGCCTGTGACACGCATATCCATGAAATACAAGAAGTAAAAAAATATGTATTTATATTTAAGAAACTTGGCATAATACACATGATTTGACTCGTTATGTCACATAACTGGCACATTTTCTTTTCACTTTGACTCAACTAAAGAGGAACAGGAAGTGACATCAAAGGGGAACTCTTTGAGAAAGACAACTTCCTGGTTTTTGTTTATTTAAACAATATTATTTGAACTATATGACTCTTTCTCATCTCTATGATAGTTATGAAAATAATGTAAAGAAAGAGCAGATTTTTCTCTACAGTCTGTGTTTTTGGCCATTTTAGCAATGCTCTGTTCACATGCAGACATTCCCCTTTGACATCACTTCCTGTTACTTCACATGAAAATATTTCAATAACTGTTCATCTCAGCGGCATGGAATTTTTTTTACAATATGTTATCAGTGTTCTCCTTCCAAAAATACATTCATTTTTATTACAAAAATTTGATGTCACAGGCACTTTAAAGCTTTCAGTAACTGCACTTCCTGTCTTCTTCTTGTCCTCCAGGAGCAGTACTGGCGTTCAGTCCTCTTCCACAACCACTACAACTTCCTGTCCTCCAACGGCTACGAGGTCAGCGAGGACGCTAAGACTGAGTCCCAGAAGGAGCAGCAGGAGCTGCTCATGAAGATGTTTGCTGTAAGTTTGGAACACGTCGAGTCGGACATGAATTCACAGCATGAGGGGAAAACAACATCATTAAGCAGTGAAGATGACTGTTTTTGGTTCAATCTTTTTTTTTTTTTTTTACCTAAACCTAATAAAACCTCTGAGTACTTACAGTTTCTTCAGGGTATAAACTGAATCAGGCTTTCTTCTATGAAATACTTGCTGTCCACACTTTGGTGCATCTTTCATTGTGCCCGTGTCCAATCACTCGTCTTCACTTCCAAGCTGCTCCAAACTAAGACAACCCACCCTCCAACCCTATGACAGGGGTCTTCAACTCTGTTCCTCGTGACCCACTGTCCTACACGTTTCTCTGCTTCAATGCACCTGATTCAAATCATTCAATTATTCACTCAGAATGTCATCAAGTTCAGCAGAAACCTGTCARTCATTTCAGTCAGGTGTTGAAGCAGGGAAACCTCAACCATGAAGGACCTCTGTCCTAACATGACTCAGCTTTTAATTTTAAAAAATAAATAAACCCTTAAGTCAATTTTTACAACATGAATGGTTATATTTGTCTTTGTATTGTTTGAATAAGTCTAAAGTACGGACTCAGAGCAGAACTCTTGTAAAATAACGTGTGATGTGCYGTGTCTGCAGTTGTCCTGTAAACTGGACAGGGAGTTCCGCTGCGTGGAGCTGGCCGACCTGATGACTCAGAATGTGGTGACTTTGGCCATTCGATACGCGTCCCGATCCAGGCGGATGGTCCTGGCTCAGCGGCTCAGTGAGATCGCTCTGGAAAAGGCCAACCAGATTCAGGAAGAAGAACCAGAGGAGCAGGAAGAGGAGCCTGACTACTGCAGCGTCAGGCGGACCTCTGGGTAATCGTAAAACTCATCCAGCCGTGATATTGTTGGAGTTTTCTGTTTCGTTGTTTCAGGCAGAGGGTATCACAGGATTTGGTTTTCTTATTAGCAAACACTACAGATTTCACAGAACTATTGATGAAAGTCTGCGTTTCATGGGATTGTTTCAAAAGTAATTCTCTCACTCGTCACAGAAACAGAACACATTTTATTACAGAACTCAAAATATCGAGATGATTTCATTTGGTTCTCATGAAAGTTTGTTTAACTTGACCTGCTGAATCTAAAAAAAGAGTTGAGTAGGTCCCCTGGACCCCTCCTCCAAGACTTCTTCAGTCTGAGTTTCAGGTAAGCTCAGACTTATAAGCACTGCCTCCACATGTTGATCAGGTTTAATGATGACAATCAAAACAGACGTTACCACTCTGACTATGGTTCTATGAATCCCAGATGACCAATAAATGTGTGTGAATGATCATGTTTGCACAGGTCAAATATTAATTACAACAAAGTCACCTGTGTCCTGCTCATGTGACTCTATGTAGTCATGTGATACCTGACAGTCAATCCCTCAACCTTCTGGTGAGACACGTAATCTGAGGAAAAAGCATACTGGCAGGATTTATAGCACCGTAGTTACAGCTGTAACTGAAGGTTAATCTTGGACAATATCTGATGATCGACTCTTTTAAATGAAACCAGAGAGCGTTGACAGAGAGGAGAAGGTAGAAATGACTCAGCCTGGAACTGACAATATGGATGGAGGACAACAGAGCTGCTTCATGGAAGAAGAAACTCAGCTTAGGCTGTTAGCTTTAGCGTTAGCACAGAGCTTATGTTGTTAGCTTGAGAACTATCCATCCATCCATCCATCCATTTTCTTCCGCCTATCCGGGGTCGGGTCGCGGGGGCAGCAGCTTCAGAAGGGAGGCCCAGACCTCCCTCTC